AAACTGAGCCAAGCCGAGCCGTAAGCCATTTGGCTCGGCTCGGCTCACGGCTTGTGAACAGTAACCCCCAACCCACTCTTTCATATTTAGTTAGATAATGGTGTAACATTTGTCATATTCTATGCATTTTTCAAGAAAGGTTTTTCAAACTTTTCGAAGTACAAAGTTTTTATAACTGTATTTATCAGACTTGACCCGAACAAGGCATCAAGTCATCGGATCATTGGTCACATCGGTAGGGCAATACTTGAAAAATTGTGTGTTTTTTTTTGGAGCGTAGACCCTACAAAAAAATTCGAAGCGTAAAATTTATTTTTTGTGACAAATATAGTTTTAAATTATTGTTTATATTTACTTTTGTGAGTTTGTATTAACGAAATAAATTTATTTCAGTTAAATTTTGTTTATCTGTACATGCAACGGCTTCAAAAAATAGACGTTTGCATATAAGTACACATCTTTGTAAAATTGGTCGATATGATTCATATTTCTTTGTCATTTTGCATAGGAGTGTTTGATCTCAAAATTGAACAAGATTTTAGTGGTCAATTCGATTTTCGTTAGATTGCATGGACCAGTTTAATGGCTCTCTGGTCACTCATGATCGCTTAGACAACTTCGTTGATTTTCTAATTGAATTAGCTAATCCAAGACTTCAAATTTCTTAACAACAAGCTATTAACTCAAGGCTATGTTGCAATTTAATAGAGTTTTTAGATCGTGTCTCACTATTATGGACCAATTATAGAACAATAATAAAATGTTATGACGAATTTGCTCATTTTTTGAAGAATGAGAGGTCTGGGTCCAACATACTTCTACTACAATAGGTTAGGGGCCAATAATGCATATGTTTGTTTATTTTCTAGTACAAGTTAGGGTCGGATTCCTCAACCTTTTATGAAGTGTGAAATCGACTTTCCAACCTTTAAAATTGAAGTTTTGACTCCTTAACCTATTCAATCATGTGAGATTGAGTCCTCACTTGACGAAATACGTTATTACGTTTCAAAAGTTAAAGTTTCTTTCAAATGACTATTATATCGTTCTTACCTAAATAATAAAAGAATAGAACACCAAAAATCAAAATGGGGAAGTCCCCAGACTCTGAAGCTTAGGTATGGCATGGCTTGTTTTGATCTAATTGAATCAAGAACTATCAAGTATCTTTTAAGTAGAACTATCGGTCCAAATTTAATTATGAAACCGAATCCGAATCACACGGTTCGATTTGGTTCAGTTCAGCAAATTTTAGTTCGATTTTGTACCACAATTCAATTTTTCAAGGTTTGAAATGGGGGATAATTGCAATAGTATTCTCAAACATTTCAAATTATTGCAACTTTCACTCTAATCTTTCATTTA